CCCCCCCCCCCCCGACGGCCCTCCAATCACCTCCCCCGCCTTCAGCGATGGGGATTCGGTCCTAACCTGTCCCCATTGCGATCGCACCTTCACCTCACACATTGGCCTGGTCGGTCACTTGCGAATCCATTGCTCAGAGGCTGACACACCCGTGCCTGGAGCACCAACTTACGCTTGCCGCATTCGCCTCTACCGTTCGCACTGCTCCCGCGCATTCACACACAGCATGGACCTATTCGGTCACATGTGTACCCGTGACAGCGGAAACTGCCGCAGTATCGACACACCTAGCATGCCTTGCACATCGACCATCCCTCTAATTTCCAATCCAATAAACTTCCCATAGAACAGCGTGCACGCCACTAGCAGCGTCGCAACATCACCTTCAGCTGAATGACCGCCTTTATTCGCAATCTGCCAACGGACAGTGCGTAGTCTATAAATCTGTGTACAATGATTGGACAGGGCATAACCCGTCACTTTTGAATCCATAAGATCGAGTAAATTTCACCACTTTCCCGATGTAACTTCACCCAACTGTGTGCCAAATTTGACTTAGAACGCTGACCGGGACGCCAGTCTTTAGTAGTTTTTCATTCGATTTCTAGCCAGTTTTTGCACCTGAACTCACTCACTGGTGCGTACGTTTATAAAATCCCAAAGATCCTTATCTTTTCCCTCCACTGTTTATTTGGAGTGACTTATTTCCGATTGGAGAATGCAGGAATATGAAAGACTGAAGTTAACAGTCTGGGGGTTAACCATTCTCTAGATAACCTGATATGTAGGTTCCTTCACGTCTATTATTTTGGTTACATCGTTCTCTTCTCTGTTTGACTTCAGAACGGACCTCTGCCCTTCTCATTTCCGACTTTCCTCTTGGCGTGGTGGACCCGTGAACTGCTGACCTATGTCATTTACGTGAAAGCAATGATTCACCCACGGACGGTGAAATGGGGTGCACATACGTACGTCCTTTCTTTGGGCGGTCACACCCGATTTGCCACCGACCAGCACCTGCCCGCGAGATGCGGGGGCACTCACCTCCCGCCAGTACACTTTGCCGCCACAACGACGGCCTCACCGACGATGACAACGAAGGTGCCGACCGGCAATGGCGGCAACGGAAGTAACACAAGTCTCACAACCCACCTATCTGCGGCTGAAAAACAGATAGGGATATCCAATGGGACCGAAGTGCAGCCCAACGGTGGCAACATGTTCACTTGGCGTCATTTCCCTCCCAATGGTTACATTCAAGGAAATGCAGGGTTGGTACGAAAAGTGGACGGATATTCCTCTCTCGCCAATGGCGCAGCTGACAGCGCCGCCACCACTCGCCTATCTCACTACGGGCAACCGCGCGGTACACTCCTGATGGATGATTAGTTGACGCACAACTGCTCCTATTTCCGGCTATGATAGGGCGCTCGGGACTGCCGGGAACTCTGCTACCATTGGCTCGATCGCCTAATAAAGCTGACGAAGGAAAACCCTGTACATAGCTTTTTTAATACTGTCTTTCCAAAAGTGGAGACGGAACTCAAAGTAGATCATAACACTACCGAGGTCGTCGCCCTGCGTCTTTCCTATCGCACTCGCCAAATTCGTCCCTCCTCCTTCAGCCAGGCCGTCCAGGTACTTGTCAGCCCGAACTGAACTTTTAACGTCATTTTTGGCAGCAGACCGCATCAAGCGCGCAAGCAGATGGCCGCCGCCTCATGTTGCTGATTCTTCCCTCCCTCCTCCTCACTCACCGGAATTTCTCTATCCTCTGCCTGCCCCCACCACACCCAGTCTCACGTTTCATTTTGTCCGTTTCGTCTTCTGCTACCCCATAGCACAATAAATGCAACATTGTTTTTTTTTCCAGATGCCTGCCGATTCGTATTTTTCGTTTTGCCCACTTTGAAGGGTCTGTGGCTGTTCTTCGTGTGATTGGCGGCTTCCCTTGACTGTGTGGATGCGATTTTTTTTCGAGATGTTTCCTACGTTTTAATTCTTCCCCTTGTACATGACGCCTCTGCGGTCTGACACAAACATGTTTCCTTTCGAGTTTTCGTTAGGTCTCCCTTCCCGCCACCCGCTAGCCCCTTGCATTCGTTTGCTTCCCCGAGAAGTTATATTTTTCGTAGGTTTTGCCTTTAATTTTGGACGTGCATGCATATTGGAGCCTTGTGGCTGTGACACCTATCCTCTTTGCCTGCAGATGCACGCGTGTTACACG